GTGCAGTATAGAAGCATTATTACTATTTAGAAAGAACAGCACAGCTGTTACTGGCTAAGAAAATGATTCCATAGAGTTCCAGTTAGATATATCCTCATCACGAAAGCTCAACTTACTTATAAGCAAATTAAGCTTTACAAAGATAACTTTTTTAAATGGTTTTTTAAATTAAGATTTATGAGATCTTCATGTAATGTCTTAAATGCACCAAGGAAAAATGAGCTTACAATTTTCTCTTGAGGATGGAGAACTTTAGCCAAGGACACTAGAGCAAAGTGAACATTTATCATTTCCAGCATATTCAGATATTTTTTTGCAGCTGTATAACACACTCTACTTGACAACAATCCAGAAATCCTTTGTTTGCCACCTCATTAGCCTTACATCTGTAATTCTTCAGAGTGTCTGGTTATTCCAAATGATGCCACTAAAGGAATGTTATTTCTACCATCCTGATAGTAAAACAAATCTGCCATAAAATCAACACATCTTATAAGCTAAATAATGATGAAAACATCTATATTTTCTGATATCTCAAAGATGATTTAATACACGATATTTTTTTTAACCTCTCCTACCCTGTTTTTAATTTAAGGAAAAAGGAAGACTGCTGTTGATGTCTTTGTTAAAGAAAAGCAGATATGAAGATATTCAGTGAGCAGGATAGAGGCTCTTAAACAGATGGTAAGAAATAACTTCACACAAAAATTAGAACTCTTCCCCTTCTGGAATAGTTTGCAAACTCAACATACTCTATAATTCACTAATGGTAGTGCCTAAAAATTTTAGCTTTGCATAAGGGATCTCTTATTATGATTATTACTAGATAAAGTTCTCCAAATATCATTGGTTTAAATTTCTATTTATCATGGAAAGCCCAGGCACACAGAGGATACTATTCTGCAACATTTAAAATTGTACTGTCTCTCTCTTTTGTCTTTGAAAATACTCATTAAAATGAACTGAAAGATTTAAAAATTTTTAAATAGTCTCATATTAAAAGCATCATGAGTAGCCAGATTTTCTATTGTGGGGTTTTTCCTTAATCTTTCTAATTCTATGTCCTTCTTTGGCAATCTGGTAGACCCATGGATCCCTCCCCAGATACTTAAGCTAAATTAAAATACACAGGATTCAAAGGAACCAGCATTTCCTGGCTAAGAGCAGCAGCACTGCAGTCTCTGCCTCCATGGTCACACTGTCCGACATCCTTCAGTAGCCTTATTTACCTCTGTCTCCCTTTTATGGGGGGAGGATGCTTATGATTGCATTTAGAGCTCACCTAGGTCATCATGGAGAATCTCCCTATTTCAATATCCTAAATTTAATCATATCTTAAAGTCCCTTTTGCCATATAAGATCATATTCAGTTTCCAAGAACTAAGACCTGGATATCTTTAGGGACTGCTATTCAGCCTATCACAGGGGGCTTTTCCAAACTGCACTGAGCCCTGAAGATGCCTCCCCCACCCTGCCCTTTCCCCTCAGGAAGAACTGCTACCATCGCAGATCTGAGAGCCACTCCTCTGAGAGCTTCCACTTACTGGGGACAGGCTGAAAAAAAAACCAAAGCAAACCCCGAGAACCACCATCTAAGATGTAAGTAACTTTGTCACCTCTGAGTCATTGATTAGGTGTCTGTAAAATTTTAACCTCAGAACAATGGTTAAATCATTTCATGTTTTCATAAAATATGAAATGATTGGATGAAGAATGTGACAGATATCGTTGCCTCTGTTCAGGGCTTTATTTCCAGGCTTTTTATCTTGATAAAAGCTCCTGAGCATATGATTCCCAAGAAGGTAGATTGCTCACATAATCCAAATGTGCCTGAGAAATGACATTTTAAGCTGCTTAGTCACGTTTTAGTTGAAAGATTAAATTCAAATATTTGCTGCTAGTACTTAAAACACAGTAAAACAGAAGACATTTGTACAACATCCAGCTGGAAAAAATGCATTTCATTTCCCCTTAAAAAGCAATATTACTGGTAACAATAGATAGTCAAAGTTAAATTGATTCCAAATAATTTAATGCTGCTACAACTTATTTAGCCAACCACATTCTTCTTCCAGCATTGCAGAAATACATTATCTAAAAGGAACAAAATACAGTAAGTATCCTGCAATTGTACTACGACACCCTCTAGATCATTCTGTCCACAAGGTCACGATCTCCTGGGCCCCTTCCTTTCACATTATCTCTTCGTTTTTCTCTAGCTCACTTAGCTTCTACTTTGTATTCCAGCTACCTCAATGTTGTTAGAGGTGCTTTGCTTCGGCCGTATCTGCAGCGCACTATATGCTCCAGCTTTCCATTTCAATTGTTGGTGGATCTTGGTCAGATACAGACCTAATCCCCCCAGGCCCAGACCTCTGCACGCCACAGAGCAAACAAAGCTGCTTTCAGGGGCTCCTACCCATCAAATCTCTCCAGTGGCTTCTCATTATCCCGGGGTGAACTCAAACTTCCGAAAAGACGGAGGAGGCCTTCCCGCTTATATCCCAAACCGTCTTTCACTGCTTTTTTCACTGCCGCACACTGGGCGAGCCACAGCCTGGCACTTCCCAGAGCTTGCCAGCATCACTTGTAGATCCCACACACACTTAATCTGCAGTGCCCCTCATCGACTGCGACTGTAAACATCTTACCCACTATTCAAAACTCAGTTTGGAGTCATCAGCTCAGTCAGGTTTCTCTGAAACAATCCCTAACTCTGGCAAATTCCTCCTATTTGTGTTCTTACTATTCTTTACACATGTTGCTGTTGGGGTACTCATGACCCTCCATTTACACTCTGCTCACATTCCTGCATTTCTCTATTAAAAATGTGAGTTGCTGTATCCTATTATGGTCACTTTTGTGCTCCCTTCTTCCCAGCACAGGACTGGCTCATATTAGACTGCCAAGGGCTGAATGCAGAATGTTGCTTCTACCTTATCCCTGCTCTTATCCCTACTTTAGGAAACATTTGCTGTTATTTGTTTATACCTAGGTGTAAATATAAGTTCATACTGCTCTTTAATCTACAGCTCTAACTGTAAAATAGAGGTGGTTATCTCCAGTAAGTAAGTTCCAGAAATTAGTAAGCGTTCATGATATTTGTGAGGATAGGAAACCCTCCTGACATCCTGAATGCACACCTTAAAGGCGCCCCTCTATGCCTGAGTAAAGAAATATACTCCAGGATTCATGATCTGCACAGTCTCAGGGTTGGAACAGATCTATTCTCACTACCTGATGACTGAATCTTCTCCATAATACCCAAATGGTGGTCCAGAGCTGTATTTGAGCACATCTAGCAACCTCCTGAAGAAGCCCATTTCAGTTTTCACATATGGCTTTAAAAAAAAACATAAACTTGGACATTTTTGAGCCTTCTGGTCAATAATAATGAAATTGGAAAATAATGAAGGAAGGAAATCCACTAATGCAAAGTTTAAATTTAAAAAAAAACAAGGAGTAAAAATCACATTAGGGCACCTTTTTGCCTATTAATTTAAGACTAAAGAATGCTAGCTACCCTCAAACAGCCCTATCTAGCATAATCAAGATTACAACAGGAAACCGTTTGAGCAGAAACTGCTGTGGCAGGAAACTGATTGGTTCAGCAATGAGACAAGATGCTTCTTGTCTTTACTGTTGTCTAACTTAATTCTGTGCCTCCTCCATGGGGCAACTGCTCTGATATAAAGGCTTGTAAAGTTATGTCATGAAAACAGACTGAAGTACGATTAATAATAAATGCAGGAGTAATACAAAGCACTGCCGGAAGTTGCAAGGAAGCTGAAATCAGGCAGCAAACATGAGAGGGGAAAAAAGCAGTCGACCAGTATTATGTAAAGTATGTAAAGTACTGCTGTCATCTACAGAATATGTGAGCACTTCTTCAGGATAAGCTTTGCTATGAAACATGAACAATCCAAATTGGATTGCCTGAAATGTGCTGAAATTTACAACTCAGCATTCTGCCTTTGAAGGCAGAATAACAGCCCTACAACGATATCCTCGCCCTCATTCTCTGGAACTGTGAATAAGTTGCCTTATATGGCAAAGGGACTTTGCAGATGTGATAAAGTTAAGGACCTTAAAAATGGGAGATTATCCTGGATGGTCCAAGTGGATGCAATCTTCTGTGGTTCCCTAACATTGGAGGCCCTTTCCAGGTAGGTTCAGATTCAGAGGGAGATGTGACTACAGAAGCGTAGTCAGAGATGCAATGCTGCTGGCTTTGAAGGTTGAGGAAGGGGCCCCTGAGGCAAGGAATGTGGGTGGCCTCTAGAGGCTGGAAAAGGCAAGGGAACAGACTCTCTTCTAGAGCGTTAACAGAGGAAGCTTGTACCTTCTAGCCCAGTTATCCCAGTGAGACCCATCTTGGATCTCTGATTAAATTACTGTTAGATAATAAATTTGTGCTGCTTTAAACCAAATGTGTGGCAATTTGTTAAAGCAGTATTGGGAAACTAATATCAACTCACATTCTCTCAGAAGTTTTACTCTAACACAAAAAAATGACACAAACTGGGATCAACCCATAATTTCAAAATGGGCTATTTAACAGATACCCTAATATCTATATATGACTTACTGCTAAAATGTTTTTCTGAGAGGCAAACAGAGAAAGTCCTGAAATAGTTGATCTTTCAAAGAGGTAACGAAAGATTCAATAAACACTGAAAAAAAAAATCCTGACATATTATTAACTTCTCCCAATGAATCCAGGATAAAAAAATCATTCAATTTATGTGAAATTATTTTGTACTTCAGTGGAAAACCCTTTATTCCTGCTACCTCTTCTTCTTCCTCCAAAGCTGATTTTGAAATGGTTTTTAGATGAACTTTTATAATAAACATTTATTGGCATGCATGTTTTCTAGAATTTGCTAACTGAGACTTTGCTGTTGTTGAACAATATGGCACATATTCACATTTCAGGCCTTTCTTTACATCTCATGGATTAAAAAAATAAAAAACAGTCGAGTTCCATCCTTCCTACTCACCACTTTGCAGCAAAGAGGCCAAAACCACCACATCAAACCGATGCCCAAGAGTAGCAGTAACACCAGAATAGCAATGATGGCTGCAATTCCATTAGACTAGAGGAGGTAGAAGACAAAAACAAAGTGGTCAGCAAAGGAAACAACAGAAAATAATATAGAAAGAATAATAATGTCAAACCAGATTTCTATTATATTGCTTTAAATTCTAAAAATTACTTTATATTCTATTTCATATGTGTTAAGACAGGCTACAATAAATATAAAATCTTCCAAAGTGCTACAGACTGTCCTAAATTATGCCTTTAAAGAATACAAGAAAAAAAATCACTATTTTGAGTTATACAAATGGTCTGCATGGTCCATTTATATATATACATGTTTAGATGATAGGACAAGATGAATGTCAAAAATCACCACACAGGTGGCAAACCAACAGCAATGGCTCTTGTTGACAAATGGTACAGACGCATTGAGGCATCAAAGATATCTCATGCATCCACCTATCTGACCTCACGGCAGCTCAAGAGCTCTCTTCAAAGGAACCACACTGGGGTTCTTTCACTTCCTGGCACCAAGTCCTCCAGCCAGAAGGCACATGGCCCGGGCTCTGCCTCCAGTCCCTTCACAACCATCTAGTCCTCCTCCAGGCCTCAGCTGAACACACTTCCCTCTGGTGAGAAGATACCCCAATTTACTAAAAAACTCATTATGTTATTTATTTTAATCTTCAGCAATTATCACAATTTTTTGTTTGTTTATTTTAGGCAAACTGTGATTTTGTAATTTAATTTCTCTTTCCTGCCACTGTTCATTGTGAACTCTAGGAAAGCAGGGGCTATGTCCAACCTACTGACCAATGTATACTCCATGCTTAGCACCTGAAGTTATTTACTAAGATCATGAACTCCAAGAAAATAAGACTGTAAAAGTCACAAGCACAAAGAAGAATGTGCACCAAATGTTTAGTGTAGAGATAAAGTTTCCCAGGGAACAAGGTATCTTCCCCAAACCCCCCTCTCTGAGCTCCCCAGTATAATGTTTTGTGTGTGTGTGTGTGTGTGTGTTTTAAGGGAAAGAATTCAGGGAAGACAAAAACTATAAATAAACAGACTGTTTTGGAGGGAATTGGGGACTTACAGGCAGCTTGTCAGAGATATATTTCCTGCCATTCAAAACAAGTAAGTACAAGTTCAGAGGGGCGAGCAAGAGCCACATGCATTCCAAGAGCTGATAAGAAGTAGGCGTGGGGTGGGGGGAAACATAGAAGTATCCCTCTTAAAATGGCATAGTATTACAGGTATTAGTCTACAGGTCTAATTTTCAGCAAGCTGTTTAAGTTGTCTGGGCCTCCTTTTTCTTATCCACAAAATAAGAAAGCCAGTTGTTACCAAAACATGAAACTCTGTGTGGAAAAAATATTACCATTACATCTCTCTCAGAAAATCACTATGCATACTAACATATTTATAAAGCTCTGAATGGCTTTGCAGTAAAAAAGTCTAACTTATACCACCACAGTACCATTTTTTTCTCACAACATTTTCAATATCCTCTAGATTTAGAATTCCCTAGAATCCATATCGGGAAATGTTGGGAGTAATCAAAGCTCCAAGCCTTTCTGATGTTTAAGCTACTACGGTAGTAGCATTCAGTTAGAACAAGTTACAACAAAAGTTGAAATGTAATAGTGACCTATGCACAAAAAGAGATAATTTTTATGAAAAATAATTTGTAAATAACTGAAAATAGAAGAGAAGGTAGTTTCAAAACTACTGGCAAGAAGTGTTAGCAAATTATACTTGGTTTAGCTACAGAAAAAATCTTGACATGTGTGTCATTTCCCTGCATCATCTGTTATTATCACAACAGAAGAAGAAAAAGAGATTACCAGATAGTGACTTGGAAACACCCCCAAAAACATATCAATTTTCAGAGATACTGAGTACTAGCAGCCTTTCAGTTTTAATAAATCTATTTTTACAATGACTTAACATAATTTTCAGAGCAGCATAGACTATAAAACATTCATTAATTTCAGAAATTTTCAGGAGGAGATTCAGAATCTACTATACATTAACAATTAGAGCTATCCATCCACTGATTTTTAATTTTGCGTCTGAATGTAAGAGGAAATGATGTTACCAGATAGTTAAGTAGCTGATGTTAGGTTAGAAATTAACCAAAACTAACACCACCAAAATATTACTTAGAATCTTTGCTCATTACATTTCATTTATGAGACAACAAAAATAACTACAGAAAATACACACACACACACACACACACACACACACACACACTATCGTCATAGAGTTCTACCACTCACTATTCAACTATTCTTAAGGCACTGGAAGATGTTATTACATGATATTTACCACACAGAATTAATTTAAAATATAAGAAATAAAACGATATGTACTCATGTAACTTCTGAATGTAGAGTTTGGTAGAAAGAAAATATAAGCTCAACAGTTGGTTATTAATGTATCTTAGACATCTAAATCTGTGTGTTATATGAGGAAAGGTGTGTGTGTGTGTGTGTGTGTGTGTGTGTGTGTGTGCATGAGAAATAGAGAATTATAGGAAATTTCCAGGCAAACATCTAAGTTGTCTGTTCTTAAAACCAAAGAAAATAATTCAGAGCATACATCAAGCTACTTAGGAACATACTCAAAAAGAGTGTCCTTCTACACAGAATTCTAAACATTCACGAACAAATCATTTGATTCTCCACAAGACTGATTACACTGAGCTTTAAAACATAGGCAAACAAGAGTATACCAGGAAAAGAATGTCAAAGAAATACATAGAAAACTGTGATGTTCTATGGGAGAAATGTAAAATATACAGATTCATGATCCCAACTTCAAACATAAGGCCTTATGTAAGATACCCTCATCCTATGACTATTTATCTATAGCATTCCCCATCAGACCTTTCCCAATGAGGATCTAGCCATAGCACTCTTACAGAAATGGCTCATCATTGGTCTGTGCTACACAATTTTCAAAAGGGTTCTATCAATATTTGATTTCCCCTTTTCTTAGAATTGAAACCCTATGTTCAGAAATGAGTACATGCAACTAGAGGATATGTATGAATCTGCTGAAAGTTTCATGGTTAATTTTTTCCTTCTATGAATGTGTCATGAACAGGAAATTCAGAAAATTGTATTGCCAAAATGTAAAGTAGATGGGCTGGCCATGACAGACAGTTAAAATTCTTGATTTTTTCCTGTAACAAAAATGCCTGTGTTAAGAACATTGACAAAACACTATGCACATACAGATGCAAATATGCATTTGTCGTGACAGTATTATCACCTCAACTGATTCCAAAGATTCATCTTCCGTAAAATTAAAAAGAAAATTGACATTTTCTAAAGACCTAAAGGCCTAATCTTTATCATATCTAAGCTAAGCATGATGGAAAACAGGTCAGAGGAAGCAAAAAATGTTATGCAACCCAACCTGGCCATAAATGAATGAAACACTGCCCTTGGATGCCCCAGTCCCACTAGCTCAGTTAACTGGATACAAATTCAGGATTCCCCAGTTCCTTTGTTTTGATTTGCCAGAGCCATTTCAGAGCAAGAAAGACTTCAGTCTTGAAAGGGAAATAATTTCATTGTTCACATAACTTTGTAAACAAATTAAGGAAAGGCAAACACATGAACTTCAATCCTATAAGCAGATACCATGCCACAAACTGCAGACTTAAGAGTCACTTAAAACTAGATATGATTACACATAGATCTGTATCATAGCAGAAACTCTTGCTCTCTGATACAAGGCAGTTAAGCAGGTCCCAAAGTTACCACGTTGGACAAGCCTGCATGAAGACCATGCTGAGGAAACAAACCTTGAACAAATCATTACAAATGTGAGATGCAGGGAAAGAAAGTACAACAGCAACATGGAAAAGTGGGAACTAATGTGCTCTGGGGTTCTGAGAGGACCTCCTTGAGGGAACACAAGAAAGCCTAGTGGGGAATAGGGCAGAGCTAGCACATCTTGCAATAACAAGAGAAAGACAACTTTGGTACACAGTTTCAGGGTGTTTGGTAGCACTGGAAGTAGTTGAAGAAAGTTCTGAAACATGCATTTCTGAAAAGCAGTAATTCTCTTTAATACAGAGAGAATTGCCCATCTGTTATATTAATGCCCATTTGTTGGATGACCTTTCAATTGGCATTTGCTGGATCAATTCTTTCTAACTGTAGCTCTGAACAAGTAGCATTCTCAGATGTCCATGAAGGCTAGGTTGTACAAATGAACTAAAGAGACAGTACCCAGATGTCAGTCATGGCTGTGAAGCCAAAACTCTTTGAGGGCTAACTGGGGACATACTAGAATCTTGAGCTTGATGTTAAGGTAGAAGCAATATATTTTCTAGTCATCCTGGGCACATTAAGTTTTTGAACTTCATCTGTATCAATTTAAGAGCTAGTTATACAATCAAAAACTTCACTCTGACTGACATAATTGAAATTCTAGCTAAGAGAATCAAAGAAATACAAAAACAAATCAGAGTCTCTACTGTTCTTGCAAAATAACTTTGGGAAAGAGGAATCACTCAACAATTTCAAAACTGCATGAATAATGTGTTGTAATCTATCTAGAAAATAATCACAGCAACCACATTAGAACAAAACAGGCAAAATGAGAAATGGGTCTCCACAACTCTGTTCCCATGAATTTAGAGTTAAGGGAAGAAAAAATATTCATAGAATAGATGATGGTTTCATGTACTGGCTTCTTGCGGAATATCCCTTATTAGGCTTTAGGCAAACTGTGGCCCAAAGATGAAAGTAGCTCAACTACTTTGTTAAGACCCTGGCAAACTGTGAATTTTTTTTTACATTATTATACAGCTGAAAAAAAACAAAAGAAGAATATGTTACCTGAAATTCAAGTTTCTCTGTATACAGCTTTGTTGAACATAGTTGCATCCATTTGTTTACACAATATCTATAGTTGCTTTTGAGCTATAACGGCAGAGTTGCAGGGGTGATAGAAACTGTATAGCCCCCAAAGCCTGAAATATTTACTACCTGATCTTTTACAGAAAAATTCTGCCAACTTTTGTCTTATATAAATCAAATTAGGACCCAGTTAAAAATGGCAGACTGTTTAAGTATTCAGGCTAGGGGGATTCCAACAGACTTGGATTCAATTCACAATTCTAGCATTTACTTGACTGTGAAACTGAGCAAGTAATGTACTGCCAGAGCCACGAGGCTCCAAGCCTCCCCTTTCTCAAGGGCAGTAAGGGCTGAAATCAGCTGATGTTCTACTCATCAAGCCATGTGCCCTACTGAGGGCTGAGTCCATCTATTAAAAGAAGCACCTGCTACTATGTTTGCATAACATGCACTAAAGATTGAAGGTGGCTCTCTACTCCTCAGTTTTCTCTTCTGTAAAATTAATGTAATGGTAAAGCCTCCTTTTGAAGTGTATTAGATGAAGTCATAAAGTGCTTAGCCCACGTATAGTGCTTAGCAGTGTCTATCCCTTAGTACATGCTCAGAAAACACGTTCTTGGTATTACTATCCCAAAGAGTCAGAAGAAGAGCAGTAGTTCCAGGTAAAAAAAAGTCATGTTTCATTGTATTTTTTTAATACAGAGACACATTTAGGAGATATGAAATAGATTAAGGGAAATGACTGCCTAAATACAAATCCTCCTTAGGCTTTAATCTTAAATCACTTAAATTTAAACCTTCGTTTCCTCAGTTTTAAACAAGATACACAGCTACTTTCATTCATTCACTTACCACTAATTTTGGAGCCCGTGCCTTGTGTGATGAGGGCACTGGGAGAGGGCAGTGAGCAAGTGACAGGCTCTGCTGTCAACATCTCAAGGCTGCTGAGACAGGCCCAGAAGTAAACAGGAAATTACAGCTCAGTGACACAAGTGCCTTAGCAGGCCTAAGCCTGGATGCCCTTGGAGCACAGAGAGAAGCTTTATTGTGGGATTTCCAAAAGGATTAATCAATTGCTAAAGTAATGGTGCCTTGTTTTGTTTGGCTTTCAAATGCCCATGAAAGCCAAAAGTATCATCCGATAATGAGTAATCTTACTAACTGCATCTCATCATATCTAAATATGCTATAAGACTGAACATCACTTAAACACAATGCCTGGGTATTTACCATATTACCCTATCTCAATTTGGAATAAAGATCTAATGCACACGTGAGCAGATATATATCTCATTAGCGTCCGTCTCACTTCTAATACCTATAAAATGGGATAATTAACACTAATCTAATGAGAAAAAAGGAATTATGCTTTGATTATTATCAATATGATAAAGTGATTTATCATATTTGTTATCCTGTAATTATTAGCGGAATAATAAAATTCACACAAGACAATGAATCATTAACCTGAAGTATCAAGGTCACTGTAACCCCTCTGACCTTTCTCCCTCACCCTCTGACCTTTCTCTCTTCACCTAATGCTGCTTGCTTTTCATATTGGAATTCCATCTTCCTTTGGCTTCTTATATGGTAAGTGTCCAGGTTTTCCCATTTCTTGAGCTATTCCTTCTCTTACTTCACTTATTCTATTGACCAAGACAACCTTACACTTTTCCTTCAGATTGGTTAAACTTTAACTAGGTTCCCTCCTGGCTATAGGTCTGTGACCTTTTTTTTTTGGTTTGGTTTGGTTTTTTAGAGAATCTACTTTATAAAACTTATAATTGCAAAATCTTTCTCTGCCTCTTTGAAATGTATATAAATCTACTTTAACATCTCTTTCCAGTTTTGCAGATCCCAGGGGGAATGATTTTCTCAACCTGAGAGCCATTCCTTTGAAACATAATCATCAAAGAAGATGGCACCCCTACCTCCCTGTCTCTCTGGAGGGATTAGAGCCTATCTTCCATGTGTGCCCTGCTCCCAGTTTTAGCACTATCTCCTGTCAGAAAAATAGAAGACAGCTTTCTTCTCCTTGGAAAGGGCCAATTAGCAGATACAGGTGGCCGGCAATTCCCTCCACTCCAGCTCTTAAAAACTCTCCACCTCTTTGTCTCAGCAGAGTTGAATCCAATCTCTCCCTGCCAAAATAGACTGGGATAAAGTCTTCTTTACTTGTTTGTCTGATACAATTTTTCTTTATCACTATGTATTCCTCCCACTTCAAGGAAGAAAGGAGGGAAGGACAGAAGAAAGGGAAGGAAGATAGAAGGAGGGAGAGAGAAAAATAAGGAAGGAAGGAGGGAAGGACAGACTCGACAGATTATGATACTTACCCTTTCATCAATCAAAGGATATTTTAAAATTAGAATGGCAGAAAGAGCAATTTCAGAAATAAAACAATTCTTTCAAATTGAATAAGTCTAGTATTATGAAAAATGTAATCCATTTTCTTTCCTTTTTCTCATTTCAACACTGACATCTCTCTGTACTGGAGTTTTGGAACCACAGACTTGTAAGATAAACTCAACTGTGTTTTTGTCTCATTTGGTTTTGTATTTATAGATGCTTGATAATCTCATCTAAATATTCTATTCCCAACCTCTCCTTCCACAATTTTCATTTCAACCAAATACATTTACTCAGTTTGGGCCTTCTATTTATCTGTAATCTACTTCCCCTTCCCCTCTCTTTGCCTAAGTCCTGCTCTCCTTTCGAGACCCTGATTATCTCGGTTCCTCCATAAAGACAGCTTTTCTCTGGTCCTCTTTCTCTTCTTGCTCTAACCTCCTGAAACTCGCTCTTTTTTTTCTAGTGAAAATGTCGAATTTGGTTAACTACCTCATTTCATACAATGACTCCCAAATGTGTACCTCCAACCAGACCTCTCTCTAGAACCCCAGGCTTATATTTTCAACTCCTTCTGATGTTTCCGCTGAGATGATTAAATGGGCATCTTTCACTCCACACTTCTAAAACAGAATTCCTCATCTTCTGCCCAAAACTGCTCTACTGGATGACAACTCATCCTTCTAGTTGCTCAGGTGTAAAAGTTTGGAGCTCTCCCTCATGTCCTTCTCTCACACCAACATCTAATCTGTCTAGGCATCCCATACGCTCCACCTTTAAAACATATTTGAATCCAGCCCCTTCTTACATCTCCAATGCCATCTCCTTACTGGAGTCCTCCTCCTCTCTTCTAGATTACTGGAACAGCCCCCTGAATTGGTCTCCAGGTTTCCACATTTGCCCTTACCTCCAAAGTCTGCTTTCACACAGCAGCTGGAATGATCCTTTTTAATTCATCAAGTCAGATTATGTCACCTTCCAATGGCTCCATGTTTCACTCAGAAGAAAAACTCAAGTCCTTACAATGACTTACAAACCCCACCCGATCTGCCCTCCTCCTTCCACTCTGTCCTCCTCATCTCCAGGTTCCTGCCCTCCCCAGCGATCTCCACTCCAGTACTCCGGCTGCCTTGCTCTGCTTGAAGCCTGTCAGTTACAGTCCCCTCCTTAGGCTTTGTTTCAGCTGCTCCTGCTGCAAGAAACAGTCTTCCCTTGGGAAGTTTTCTTTCTGGGCTCACTCCCTCACCTTCCTCAGGTCCTTGCTCAAATATCACCCCAGTGAAAATTACTTTGTTCCCTTATTTAATAACCTGCTCCTTCACTCTCCCTCCATCTCTGACACAACCAAAGTCACTTATTCTGAAATCACCTTTCTCTTGAACCACCTGAGTTACATTGCCCTCTCCTAAGAACTAGCAAGACTTAGGAAGACTTCTTTAAAGTACACAGTCTGCAAATTCCAAATGACTCATTTAACCTCAGCATCCCTGCACATCAAAATCATGTGTGGTTAACAGGATACAAAGACTTGTTTTTCTGCTTCCATGGAAGAGAGATGAAAAAAGACAGCTGGAGGTGCAGAATAGGAAGAAGGATGGAGAAAGAATGCCATTTCAGTGAGCTGAATAGAGAAACCATATAACCACAAATGTTTGTAAAGTCAACCACTTCCTGAGGGACCAGAAAACCTACAAATTGCAACATCCACAAAACCTGTAGATTTCAACATGAATTATAGAAGAAAAGGTGAAAAAAACTAGTTATTTTCAATATATAACTAGGTGTTAATATAAGGGTTATTATCCAGGGAATTCAATGGTAGTAACCCAAGGGTCCATAGGATCCTTGTTTCTCCTGCAACATTTTCTTACAAGAGAAACACAACTGTCTCTACATAGATAATTTTGTTTGTTTGTTTTCTGGAGGAAAGATAGCTCTTAAATTAAAAGATGAAAAATACAAAACCATGAAACCATGAGAGCTGAGAAATACTTAGGTTTGGGATTTTGGTCTTTTAAAGGGCAGGGATTATTTTTCTTTGCCTTGATTTATATTTTTTACAAATAATATATAAAATAGTAGTCATGTGATCAGTCCCTTTTCCTTCTGTTTTCATGCTCAAAAACCTAATATCAAAACTTGCCATCAACCCTAAAAATTAACCACAAAGAAAACACTATTTTCTCAATGAAGTCTGCATTTCAAAATATTGTATATTAGGTAATGAAAATTAATCATCTATAAAACACAGCTTCAGTCTAAGGTATATCAAGCTATAAAATTCCTTACTCATATTAGAAAGCACCAATGCTTAAGATGAACAAAAAAATGAGGTCACCCATTAAGATGCACTAATAATTTCAAAAATATGTTAAATGTCTTGAATACTATAATCCAACCTTCATAAGAGAAAAACATTATTCATTTACATATTTAATGTCTTAAGAAAAAAATGCTTCATTTGGAAATCATTCTCATACCTTATTTTGATTTCAAAGATAACTTTTGAATTTTATAAATGTCAAAGTAAAATGTATGCTATTTTAAAATTCTTTTTAATGTGGCTAAAAGGAAAAAGCAAAACAACCAAAATTAATTCTATAGTTTTCCTTGCAATGCTCTCCAGGTCATTGTTTATATGTTCATTATTGTAGTATGCAACAACACCAAGGAACCATAAATTATTTCTACATAGAACAATTTTTAAGAGGCAACTTCATGCAAACTTTTTTACTTACACATTCTGTGGCTGTGACTATTAATGAGCTTGAGATGACAGATTTTCCTCCATTAAAGCTCACTGAAACATCAAGAGTTCTGAAAGAAAATGAAGAAACTGTATTAAAGATAAATTAAAGATTAGAGGATTGTGAGGTATTTTTATTTCCTCATATAACTCAAAATCATCTAGAAAGTCTACTTTGATCAGTTATCCCAGCTTTTTTCTTAGTCCCAGGCCTGACTCAATGGCCAGAGGCCAATTTCTTAAATGATCTAATTATTCCTAAAAGAAGCATTAACAAAACTAGGAACATTAAGAAATTCCTCAAGCCAAAGAAATGCTGAGATTGTTCCAGGTTCACAAAAACCTAAGAAGAGGAAAAAAATTCCCTCAATCCCATTTAGCTTATTTTCCCTGTCCTAGACATTATTATCATCACAAGACCATTGTTTAAGAATATGAATTGTAAATAATAAACCACTCAAGGATAAAATATGGAGAAAGTGATAATGAAGGGGGAGATGTGCTGAAGAAAAAAAGAAAATATGATTTATTTGAAGGTATTTGTTGTATATGGTCTCTGGATATTAAAATATCTTGACAAAGGTATGAAAAGAGAATATAATTTTTAGTCATGGCTTAGAAATATCAAAGTTAAAATACAGCTCTTATCTTAGAAATATGATTTCAAATTATAAAATAATAAATAAAATTTCATTAATCCAGATTCTAGTAATTCATTATTTGGGACCAGTCAGAAGTCGGCAGTTTTCACTTTTTTTTAAATAGCTCTAACAAGATAACAAAGGGAAAAATACGATAAGGAGATTTTAAAGTATTAAGGAAACAGCTATTTTCCAAAATAGTTTACAGAGTATATTATCATATAATAATTGGTGTGCCAACATTTCAAAGCTATCCATTCATTAAAGCATCGAGAAGTAGGTAACATTTTGTTAATTTGGCTTCTATACAATGCCATGCTCCAATTCTCATAAAATATTCTAAATTCCAAGAATTAATAGCTAGGAAATTTGCCTTAATTACTCTCAATTAGTAAAATTTTTGTTCCGTTCAGATGATTTCTTCCCTATGTCTTGAGTTGAGTGCCAAGTACTACTAGTCATATAGAGTTAAGATAAAAACAGAAGCAATCTCCAGCCACCGGTAAAATTTTCAGTAACGATGCCAGAGAGGGCAGAGATGAGAAATAGTATTTACTCCCTGCTATGTGCCAGACATGGTCCTAGGCATTTTATGGACATTATCTCACTTAATCACCACAATAGCCCTTAAAGTAAGCAGTAGTTTCAGTTTCACAGAGGGAACACATAAGGCTCCGAAATGCTAATTACTTTGTCCAATGTTGTAAAGCTAGGACTCTAATTTTGAAGTCTTTCCATCAGACCACAGAAGCTTAATGAAATGAACGTCTTCAGTGTTTCTTTTCTCAAGGTATTATTGACTTTGGATTCATATAGGAACACAGCCACGAGGAAAGATGCTACTAGTAAACTTCTAGCTAAGCTCTTCTTCAAAATTCAGGAATCCTTTAAAAAATATTTCCTGTAAAATATTCCCTTCATAATAACATTTTGTTTAAAAAAAAAAGTTTAGCTATATCAAGAAAAGAATAGAACTTGGGAAGTTTATATCAACTTAACTGAACTTCTGAACTTGTCCAACATAGAATGCCAGGTGGTTTATTTAAGAAAAAAAATTTAAACCTGATTGCGTATTCTGCAGAACTGAGTGCCTTGTTTTGCTTTGCTTTATTTACTTATTTTTTTGAAGACTAAGCATAGTTGAATTAAAAAACAATCCTTCCCAGTAATTTCTCTACTTTAAAGCATGTACCAGAAAGCACATGACGTGGTAGGCATGGTTTTAGTTTGGCGAATGATTATTTGATTCATAATAATGTAGTGTTGCAAGTAATCTTATTGATTCAACTTTTAACAGATCAACAAATATTGAGTGAAGTTGTTTATAATAAGGTACTTAGAATTCATGACAAATAAACCAGTTATCTAATTCACAAAACACTCAAAACTTTTAATACTTACAAAAATGGAATAAGAAAAAAAAAGAAGAAAGTTTTTACATCAAAGTTCATTATTTTCTATAGTAAATATGCATGATGATGAGATCTTATAGGCAACCAAAATAACTGCACATTGCCCCAAGATCATATATAACATATTTAGTATAATGTGGCTGGTGTCAAAAAAAAGAGTTAAGTCTCCACATATGGAAATCCACCTGCCGATTCTTTTGACATATGGATTCAATTGAAACAACATCACCTTCACCTTCCTAAGAGTAGTAATAACATGTTCAAAACATTTCCATCAACAACAGCACCAGTGATGATGGCATTTACTGATTACTCATCATGAGCCAGACGCATTACACTCATCTTCTCACAGTGACCCACCGAGATGGACAGTAGTATTTTGTACATTTCCCAAATGAGCAAACTGAAGCTTAGAAAGGTGATTTTTCCAAATGCTGGACTTCTCTGACTCTCTAGTCAAAGTGCTTCTACCTCATACTTCCTTAATCCTTGACAAATAATTTAGGACCTCATATTTAAATTCCTCTCACTGAAAAGAGCTTGGTGTCACTCCTCAAGTTTTTACTATATTCACATATTGCTCATGGTTACCTAGAAAGGCATTTACTAACGCTAAGATAACAGGAAAAACAAACATTAAAAGTTACTTCTGCTTTTACATATTGTAGTTTCTTTATAAAAACATTTTTGAAATTATTGGTACAAAATTGGCACTGTCATGAAGCTGATACCTTTGACCAAAGCTATGCTACTCGCTTGCTGACATAGAGATTGATAAAACCACCTCACCCTCGAACTCAAACCCAAATACCTTGGCCTTTCTTTGCCCCAAAGCTCTGAGATATGTACTTAATGTTTTCTTTCATATCTTATGTTACTTCTGCTAGTGTCTTCAGATGGCTCATTTCTATTCCTATAGGATTTCTACTTCTGGTTAGTGAATTTCTGCCAGTAGAATCCACACTCTAAGTTTATAGAGACTTTCTCATGGACAAAATGTATTAAAGCCATGCTGGTTTTATTACTTAATCTCATATGTGAGAGGTAAAGGGAGAATTCATCTTTATTTACCCTCAAAATCAATTAAAATTGAGAAATGAGACAGATTCAGCCCACACATTGGGGAACAAGAAGTCCTGGGTTTGAACCCTAGCTACTATACTCTCAATTTTGCATTCCTAAATCTATAAAATAGGGGAAATTGTATCTACTTCAGAATTGTTTTGTAGAGCTGGATAAAATAATACACACAAAATACCCAACACAGTGCCTGGAACACAGCAGTACTTTTAAATTACTGTAACATCTATTTTTCTAATGCTTTGCTCAGAATATAAAGATGCTTTTACATAAACCTTTTAGATCCAAAATAATACAGATAATACAAAAAATGTATAGTAGTTTTAATAAAATAAAATAATGTGATGAAAAAATTACCTAATACTTTTTGTGTAAGTTAAAGAATTTCTATTCTACATACTGCCATATAAGAATATAGCAAGCTAAAATGTTTTAAAAAATGTCTAGTATAGAACGTCATGCAGGTTTGTATAAAAATTTTTTTCAATGCTATTTCCTTCCTACTACAAAACATTATCTTGATTAAACTAACCTTATAGCTATGTTGAGTTATGTGCTTAAACCTCCAACCTAAAACTGCACTCCTAATTGCTTTATGAGTGTTCTCCAATAAATTCATTCAATTGATCATTCTCTTACTCGTTAATTCAATAAGTATTCATAAATTGCCTACAATAGGCCAAGCTAGGCTGTGCTTGGTAATGAGGCTCCAATAACAGAACACAGCATTGTGATGTAACTGGAAGGAAGCCATACAAACAATTACAATAGAGCGTGGTATCAATTGAAACAAATACAAGCACAAGGGTCCTGGAGGACCTAATGGAAAACACAACCAACTCAGCCTTGCCACAGGGACATCAACCACCGTCTCCCATGGGATCACTTCTAAGATGAATCCTACAGAATAAGAAGAAGGTAGTTAGGAGAGGAGATTAGAAAGGGAGAAGGAGCACAGTCTGACAGGCTAGAAGGCAAAAAGGAACTAAAAACCATTCAATGCAGCAGCAATACAAGAGTGTGAGTGTGAGTGTATGGCTTGGGGCTGCTGAGAGTAGTAGGGAAGGATCAGGAAGAACCCAGGGTGCCATCCTTAGAGATCTGGAAGTAGTATTAAGAGTTTTTAAACTGGATAGAAATACGGTCAGGATTGTGTTTGACAAATATCACTTTGTTGTATAGAGCATGGGTTGAAAGAATAAATTTCCACAGAAGATGGACCAGCTCAGAGTCTCAGTGTACGCCCAGGAACCAAAGGAGAGCTGAGCTGAAGCAATGGCAAGGGGGTCACTGTGAAAATGAAAACTGGGAGCCATGGGAGAGTTAGAATAAAAACGACTTGGACATTCATTGGATGTAGGAGGTGAGGAAGAAGGAATAATTAAGATGAATTCACAGTTCCTGTAGTGTAGAGGTTAAGTAGTCTTGCATAGAAACACAGGAGAAGAAGTAGGTTTGAACAGAAGTACATGAGTTTAATTTGGGAGCTTAAAGTTTAAGGTGCCTATGGGAAATCTGAGTGAGTTAGTAGACATTTGGATAGCAGGTTTAGGGCTAAGGAAAAGATCTTGTCTACAGATTTGGAGCTTATCAACAAGAAAAGGAAGCCTGAGGGAAGATGTGTTTATGAGTCAGGAATCTAACCATGGTAAAAACTGAGCTTTAAGTGTTGTAAGAACTGGAGACTGAGGTGACATCTGAGAAGAAACAACCAGGGAGGGAGGTGAGAATATGAAGTCATGAGAGACCAGGGAGGACCTTCTGAGACAGGACTGGCCCATGGCACAGATAATGCAGGGCAGTCAGGGAACATAAGGCTGAGAAGAGACAACTCCTTCAACTACCTTTTCTTTAAGTTGGTTCTACATTGTTTAGAATTGCTTACAAATATCTTAATATCCTTTTTGCTCCATCCTTATAAATGGAATATTTTTTCCA